GAATTGCATTTGTTTTAAGTGTAAGAAACAAATGGGGTTAAGGGGGTTGCCGAGAATTGGTGAGGTCTTTATTTTGGGCCCTAACTTTTTTATTTTTCAATGAATCAAGACATATTTGGTATATTTTTACTCAGAATTGCATGTTCTTTTTGAATTGAGCAAGGTTTATTACTTGCAAGACAAACTTTGAAAGTTAAAGGTGGCAGAGGATAGTTTAAAAAGTCCGGTCAAAAAAAAGAAAAAATAGAGAAACCTGAGGTTTGAATGCATATTATTGGTAATTTTATAGCTAGAATATTTTATGGGTGATTTGGGGGACTTGGTGGCCTTGTATATTTTATTGAAATATGACACTTTAGTGTCACTACTACTGTATATGGGATATGGACTAGAAATACGAAACTAAACTAAAACTCCTCTACCGGTATTTCACCAAAAAGCGGGGTGGGTTCACAGGGTGAATTGTAGCTTGAAAACGAGGTGGTTGAGCCATTATCTCTTGCTGTTCATTGGTAAGTACAAATGTTATTCTGCAATTTGTGTGGTAGCTTAGGTCAGGCGCACGGGCCTGGAAGCAGATGGGGCTGCGGCGAAATAGTGAAAATAGGCTTGATTCACATGAAATTTTTAGATTGTCCCTGCGCCATCTTTAGGGCTCATTCTGTAAGTTGTACATGTTTTATTCCTAAAAGCTTCAAATTTCTCAAGGGACTACTTCATACTATTATTACATGTAGAGGGAATTTAAAATTTTTCAATGCACATTTTTAAAGCAGCTCAATATCAAGTAAACCATCAGTCAAACGTTTTGATTGCAAAAAAAACTATCCTCTGCCACCTTAAAAAGTGTTTTTTCGGTGTCCAGTCAACTCGTACACAAACCGTCTCGTACACAAACCGAGTCGTACACAAAAAGTCAACTCGTACACAAATCAGAAGTCAGCTGTACACAAAAAGAAATCAACTCGTACACAACGTTTTATTTTCAATAGATAGGGATTATTTTTATATAAACAATGTATAATCTAGAAAAATGAATTTTTTTTTTTTTTTTAAATTGTATGCAATGATATACCATGATATTGGCGTAAAAATCTTAGATGTATTTCGATCGTATTTACTATCTACATTGAATAACGGTAAAGTAGTTATGGGAAAAAATTTTCTAAATTTCTTACCTAAATTATTTCAAGATATATCTATATCCACGTTTCATTTCCAAGTTACTATGAGCCCTATAATGACCAAACTTGCATGGATGGTACATCTTAGGATGCATACTACCAGACTTGCTTTGGATGCTGAATCTGACCTACTTTTTCCGGTTGAGTGAACAGATTAAAGTTTTTGGTGCAGGTTTCATTTCCAAGGTACCATGAGCCCTATAATGACTCAACTTGCATGGATGATACATCTTAGGATGCATACTACCAGACTTGCTTCGGATGCTGAATCTGACCTACATTTTCTGGATTAGTGAAAAGGTTAGTTTTTTATACAGGTTACATTTCCAAGTAACTTCGAGCTCTATGTTGATCAAACTTGCATGGATGATACATCTTAGGATGCACACTAATGGACTTGCGTCAGATGCTGAATTCGACATACATTTTCCAGATAATGGACCTCGTAAAAGTTATGGGTGCAGGTCTATTACCAAGAAACTATAAGGCTTATAGAAACCAAACTTGCACAAATGATGCATCAAGGGATGAAAACTCTCAAACTTGCTTCAGATGCTGGATTTTAATTACGTTTTCATGATGAAGAACTAGTTTGAAGTTTTTATATAGGTCTATTCCAAAGTATCAAATCAAAATTGCATAAATTTTGCATTTTTGGATGAACACTTTTTGTTGGTTAATTGTGTGACTTTGCCGTAAAGACAACATTCGTTGAGGTGAGCTCTGTAATCTCTGATTACCTATGTTTTAAAAATGTAAAATATTAAAAAATATTATGAAGAGAAGTGTAGCAATATGCATAATGAAAGTAGTACATGAACCATATGAAGGTGTTGACTCAAGTAGCTTTGTTTAAAAACTCTGCCAATGTACTTGTAGTATACATAACTTAGTTTCCATGTATTTTTTTAAAAAATAGATTTCTTTTGATATTCTTATTATATAAGATAAATGTAGGGAATCCTTAGCAATCACAGATTATTACCAACTGGCTTGTATTAAATTCAGTATGTGTGATGAAAACTGATGTTTTTTTCTGATAGAGTTCTGCATACTCTTCTTGGTATCCAAGAATTATATTTTGAATTAATTAATTATAATATTCAATATGGATATTTATTACACTGTATGTAATGCATATATATTTATCATAGGAAAATGGTGTTTTTATACAATGCACATTATTCTTTTATTTTATGATTCTGTTTCAAGAATCTTTGTTTTACTGCAAAAAAAAATTCAAAAACGGGTCCGTGTGTTATTTTTTCACACATGAGATTGTGCATTGTACACCATGTATACCAATAAAAACAATATTTATTGATGTCATTATCAGTTTCATTTATTAGTACTCTACTCAGGTAAAAAACATTAGAGTTGAGGGATTGTAGTCGAGGTGACTATAGATAGGATCTTCCTCCTGTGACCAGAAAGTTACATGCTCCGACTCCGAGTATGAACAGTGTTTTTAACAGAGGCAGGCTATTGAAAAACAACTTAATCATACAGGGATTTGACAACCTCAAAGACTGAGTATTTTGTATTTGCTATATAATGACCTTTTAAGCAAATAGACCATTTCATGGTAACTGCGGTACTGCTCCTTTGCAGGGCAAAATGATATAGTTTGGTGAAATATGACATAAAAGTAATTGTTAAAGATACGTCATTTAATTATCTGTCAACAAAAACTTCGCCAAATGTAAAAATATTATTTTGCCCTGCAAAAGTGTAGTACCGCAGTTACCGTGAAGGGGCTAATTAATCATTGGTCAGTGTTTTCAATATTTTTAGTCACCTCATCATTTGTGTAGTTTTGGAGATCTTATTTAAGGTATTTCGGAAAAGAATGAAATATTCAAACAGTTACAACCAACCCACATCAACAGACAAAAAAGGATAGCAATAAGTCACTTTTACCATAATAAGTAACAAACAAGAAAGTATTGTGTATTTAGATCTCAGATGAAAAAAAAGAATAAACATTTAAACATTCCACTTGCTCCAATTTCAGTATAACTTGGTACACAAACACAGGTAGAAAATATGAAGATACATTACCTCCCCTTACTTGAGAAAATTGTTCGGTTAAAAATCTCGGCCTTTAATCAGTTTTTGAAGGGTACTGCCACTGTTACTCAAAATTGAAAATTCTTCTAAATGCTACTTCTACCAGTTTGCTCAAATTTTAACACAACTAATGGTGCACACAAGTAATCTAAGATAAATGTCTTTTTATCTTTTTTCTTAAAATTTCAATGAACAGTTGTATGGTTCAATCCTGTTGAGTATTTATACTGATCATTGAGCCCAACTTTGAAATGACTCTTGATCCCAACCAAAAAAGTGAAGAAACTGCTAATAACTGCTTACAAAACTGCCAAAAAAACCGTCTTCTTCCCAAGCATTGGCAGCTAGGATATAACTGCTAGGGAAACTGGTAACTGCTTTTAAAAAACTGCTTAGGAAAACTGTTTACTCCTAAAGCTCTGGCAGTTATAAAAGAGCAGTAAAAACAGGCCCAACTGTCTGAAACTGTTTGAAAACTGCTGGACATTTGTAAAACTGTGAAAGAGCTGCTTTATAAGCAGTTCACTTTTCCATGGGATATCACAAGTAACTCTTGTTATTTATTCATAATTTAATTTGAATAAATCCTGCAATACAGTAAAAAAAAGATATATAATAAAAAAAAAACTACTCAAATAAAATGTTATTCAGTGTAAATACATAGTATAAATAATTAATTATAATTTTAATAAATTAAGGTCAGATGACATCTTATATAATAATTAGTGAAAAAAAAATTCCCAAGAATATTTGTCTTTGGAGTATTGCTACTTTAACAAGTTTACTACAAAAACTTGGGATATACCTTACCAGGCATTTGTGAAAGATACCAGAGGGTGCATGGTTTTTCTTTAACAATTCCCTATTTGAAATCACATGAATTGTCAATATCATGATTTTTGTTGTACATGTATTTATTTTCCAAATAGTTTCGAAATCACAAAATATTGCTAATTATGGATAATTTTATTGTATTTTAAAGAAAAAAACAAAACATATTTTTTACCTCAATTTTTTTTTAAATAAATACCATATAATATGTAATCTTTCAAAACAACTTTAATATTATTGCATGGCAACTTGAAGGATTTCTCCTTATGACACTATGATACAAACTTGCAAAAGATTCAGGAAATACATGTAGAAAAATGAAGGGGGAAAAAACAAGGCTTGTGATACATTTACTAGTACATAACATATAATATTGTACATTGTTAAAAATACTTAGTATTTCATAAATGATCATGGTCAGGTAGGATTTAATAAACAGTCATTTTCTCCACATTCAAATGTTTGGTTTTAACCTATACATGTAGAAATGAAAAATATTTATACTTCATGCAAAACCACACTAAATCAAAATGCTTATATGAGATGAGAAGTACGTAAGTTTTTGCTCCCTAGAAAAGATCTTTCCAGAACGTATGAGCAGATTTTTTTGTATATTGGTGCAATTAAGGATGACGTTTACACAGATTTCAGATAATAGAAAGAACATTTTATAAAGTATTTATGTTAAATCAAAAATTGTTCTAAATGGATAAAATAAGCAAGTTTTAAATCGAAATCAATTTAAAAATTTAATATTTTATTATATTAAAGAAAATATACAGGTACAAAAGTCAATGTATGGTAATGCAGAGGAAATTCGGACTAAATTTTTAATTTTTCATTTTTGTCAAAAATTTTGATTTCTTTCAATAATAATCACGAATTAAAGGTTAAATGTATTTTTAAACATCATTTTGCAAATATTATATGTGTTAAAGCTCATAAATTATATCAAATAATTGAATGCTACAAAATAAAGAAATTCAAAAATATGTACAAAAACCATTCCAGACAATATATCTCAATAATTTGATCATTGACCCCATATGATATCAATACCATGAGAATTAGGGCATCAAAAGTAATCTGAGGCTATGGATTGTTTAGAGTTCTTATCTGAGTCAGATTTTTGTAATATTCGATTTAAAATGGGGAAAAAAATATAAATATGACAGAGGAAATTTGGACTGTTATAATTATCACATTTCTGGCCCAAACTCCAATCATTTCTTTATATGAAGCAAGGCTGTTCCATTGCTATAATATTTCATTATTTAAAGAGTTTAGTTGCTTGTAATATTTTGTGTGTATAAAAAAAAATTGGTCATATTGTGAAAAATTTAGGTATTTCCCGAGAAATACTCAGGGGCCACTAGCATGAAAAGTAGGTCATTGACCTAGTTATTTGAAATTGAAATTTAACACAAGAATCATTGGTGTACAATGTGCAATAGGTGGTTTTTCATTCTTATCAGTGGAATTTTTGGTCATCTGAGTAAAGGTATACCTTAAATACAAACTAGCTGTTCTTAGATAAAAAAAACTTTTCAAGTTTAATAATTACTATACAAGTTTGAAGCCCAACACCTCTTGAAACAAGAGGGAGTATTATAGCATTGTCAATGTTTTGCTATGGGAATCCCAAAATAACTGTCCAATCAAAAAGTGAAATCGGAAGTCACAATGGCACTAAGTTATAAAGATTCTGTGAAAGTATCAAATTTTATTTGTGTGGTATTAAATATTCCTTTTTCAAGCAAGGGTTATGAAAACATAAATATGATATAAAAGGATTGAAACATTCTGGTCAACAAACACATAAACCCTAACACCATTCCAAATAAAAATAAAAAATTCCTTAATTGTAATACCCACTAATGTTTAATGTTTGCCTGGCTGCACCAAAAAAAAAAAAGATTTAATGATATAGAAATAAAAATCCATCTGTATATCCTTAACATATACAACATAACAACAGATACACAAGATAAAAAACAATGTTACCTGAATATAAAAAATAATTACCATGTTAAAGAGAACTTATAATATCACAATGTTATTTAATTTATGAGTTAATAAGTATATACTGTCTGTTTACATGTACTAAATACTTAGTACTAAGTACATGTTTCAAAAATGAATACTGTAAATTGCTCAATCTTTATTGGTGAGAACTTTATTATAGCGAGACCATTATATGAAAGCATCTGCTCACAAAAATTTCATTCTAACATGAGATATTAAGGATAATTAAAATACTTAAAGAATAAGTAGTTGGAACTTCAAAATCAGTTCAACATAGTCATGATACTCCACACTTCAGTGTTCGAGATACCAAAGTTCAACTGGACAAGTAAATGTATGGAATAACTGTCAAGATGTTTTGGTTTTGTGATCATGATGATCAAGAAACTGACTTGTGTGATAATTTTATGCTTATAAACCCCTTTGGTGTTCATATGTAAATTATCACAAAAGCCAATTTCATGATCACATCATGAAACCAAACATTGGACTGTTATTCCTTAAATATACAGTGGAGCCTCGTTTATCCGGACGATTTGGTTTCCTGTCAATTTGTCAAGAGACCGGTATATGAAGTGTCCGGATACCTGAATTACCGGTACCAATTTAACAAAACAAAATAACTTTAAAAAAATCCGTTCCAATGAAAAATCGTCCCGGTGCTGAAGCATCTGGATATCTGGCATCCGGATATCTGAAGGTCCACTGTATGTGAAAACCTGCGCACCCATGTTCCTTGTATTTCCTGACTACGAGTCATTTTGCAATATATTATCTGGGTAAAATAAGGAACAAAATGCGTCTCACAAAAATAAAGTTTCACAAAAATTTGATCTACAGTAGCCAAAATGACAGACAAATTGTGTTCAAGTACTTGGCAAGTCAAACAAGCTATAATAACATATAGAAAACATGGATTTCAAAATAGAGATTCTCTTATATAAATTAAAAGAATCATACATACATGCATTAATGAAGTTAAATTGCTGTAAAATTGTATTTTGCATATGTATGGTAAACATTCTGAACAATTTTGTTTACTATGATGCACTACAAATATTTATAAAATTATACATGTAGCTAGTTTCTATGCAAAGCAGTTTCATAAATCCACTGATTCTATAGAGCAAGATTGTGTCAATTCAGTTATTGAATTTCTTAGAACATATCATAACGCTTTATTTTTTTTTTCTGGAAACAAGTGTATTCACATGGACGGTAAAGCATGGATTTCTGTATTATGATAACCCACTTGTAAATCAGAATTTTCTACTGAACACAAGATACCTAAATATCAATTCCGTCTCCTCAATGATCAATCATACAAGGGCTGATCCAAAAGTAATGTCACAGTTACTATAAAGTGTTAAGTAGTTGGAATTTTCAACTAAAATTTAAACTCTTATAGCTTTACTTATTATGACTGCTGCCTAAAAATTTCTTCAATAAATATTTATCATATTTTTAAAAAATATCCAGATTTAAACATAAAATTAATAGGGTTTATTGATCATTTATCACTTCATAACATCTCATTACTGATGTCTTTTTGACATTTTTTATGATAGGCAAAACCTAGCTAATCTTGTGTTTATTATATTAAAGCATTATATTATACCAAATGAAATTTTTAGGCAGCATTCAAAATGGATAGAGATATAAGTATGCAAAACATTTTGTTGATGACTTATGATTATTTAAGATTTTATAGGGGTATAGTGACATTACCTTTGTTGGAAGATCAACACTCAAATAAATGCGTAATGTACATAAGAAATAGCCTCAGTTAAGTTACTATACTGTTTGTACAGGTTGATCTGGTTTCTTGATTTCTATAGTTCCAGTGGGTGGTTTCCTGAAGGTCACATAACTGTATATAATACTTCCCGCCACACTACAATATAACATACAAAAAATCAGCATTTCTTAATAAGTAGATTAATATTTTTCATCAAGACAATATGTGTTGGTGAAAAACTGATGCCGCTGTATGGTAGCTAAGGCCCATGATTAAAGTTTCTCAGATGCAAGTCAAACTCCAAAGGTCAAGGTCAATAGGTCAAAATTGTTGGTATGATAGATAGAATGCACCTGTGAAATATGAAAGCGCTATTGCTAACTGTTCAAAAAATAAAGTTTTTTGTGACCAAGGTTAAATTTTTTTTATGAACAGGCCAATCTCCAAAGTCAAGGTCAAAAATATTCATTCTTATAGAAGGTCTTGTCACAATGAATACACATGTGAAGTATGATAGCCCTAGCACCATCTGTTCAAAAGTAAAAGCCAAGATTTTAAACGTTTTTAAAAACTACTAATAGCATTCACCATGGGTTTAATTTGGTGGAAAAATGATAAATCATGAACATAGCCAAATTAAAACCACCGTCAATATTTGCCAATCTACAGTTTTCATTTTTTCAATATCTGTACCGGTATTAATTGACGCACTGTTAATTACCTTATATTTACACCAATGAAATTAATCCACCTAAAATGATAGTCTCCTCCTAAAAACATTCCTATGTATGTCACCAAAAGGTTCTGAAAAAGCAGAGAAAATAGATGAATCTGTATCCCAAAACTAGCATTCTTTTTATTCTATTACTGCCAGATATTTTTTACGAGAATGAAGCTCTACAAAATAGGGCTTCGTTACATTGTGTCTTGAGTTTTATAATTACTTAATCAACCTTGTTGTTCAAGTACTGAACTTTTGCAGAAAGTTACTGAAACTAGTCAATTACTGAAAGGGAGGGGTATAGCATTTTAAAAAAAGAATTAAGACAAAGAAATAAAAGCTTTTCATATTTTCAACAAGTATTGCTAAAAATAATTTTGGTAGGTATACATATCTATAAATTTTGTATGACTAGAATACTTTTAAGAGACAAGTGCCTGATTTTTTTTTACTGAGTAAATAAAATTAATTTCAGACGAAGAAAGTTTTTATTACTTTGTCATACCTTTAAAACACCAACAATATTTGTGGTGAGTGCGGAATTGTGATGAGTGCAAAGAACAATGGCATAGTTCAGGATGAACCCTAGGGTACAGGATAACAAAAACTGTAGCAGAAACCAGGGATTTCCCCAGTCTTTAAAAGCCAGACCCTGTCAAAGAAAAACAGAATATAATTAATTAGTAGAACCCATATAAACATTGGTAATCCTAGATTACTGTCACAGAAAACAGAATACCACATCATTATTCAGTACAACCCATATAAACATAGGTAGTCAAAAATAACAAAGCTTACACCATTGAATATTAACTTCATGTATATAAAAGGCAAATTCTCATTCCAAATAAATGTTTTGGTAATTTGCATCCCTTAATATATCCATGTAAGTTGGTACAGCACTGGACTGGTAAGCCAGAGGCCCTGGGTTCAATCAAAAGTGGAGGCACACATTGCTGTTACACTTTAAGTATCAATCTGCTTGGAATAGAACTCCTTCAGAAACTTTTAAAAATTATGTCAGATGCAAATTATGTGTGGTGATGTACATCCTTATAGAATCATTATCCAAGCAAGTTGGTTCCAGTAGACTAAAAATGACATGCTCCCAAACATTTACCTTGGTCACCTGTCCAGAAAAATGTAAGTCAGATCAAGAATTTAAAGCAAACCTGGCTGTGTGCATCTATGGAAGCATCATCCTTGCAAGTCTGGTTCAGGTAAGGGTTTTTTTTTTTTTGAAAACAGATTTGTTCCTAAAACTTAAACTGGCATACCAATGTTGACTCCAACACCAAGCTATATAAGCATGGTAAGGCTAAGCTCCTTCATTGTTGAGGTGAGCATTTTTATTATTGTTGTGCACTTTATTCATGCTGTTTTATCACTAAATTCTTTGATTAAAGCCATTTTTCTATTTTAAATTCAAATTTAGAAAACTTGGATGATATATTATTCTTTAACAAGGATCATTCTGAGTGAGTTCATTTAAATGTGTACTTACTTTTTCAATTTCTCCATTAAAAAAAGCAAAAGCAAACACTGGTAAAATCATGAAGAGGGAATTATAAAATAATAATCCATATTTCCCTAGATCCTGAAATATGAAAGAAAAAAATTATAACACTATCATATTCAAATTTGATATATATATAACATTTTAAAAGCAAAGGAAAATGAATTTGCATGCTCAAAAAATTTCAACTGAAAGAATATTTGCCAGTGAATATATTACAAATCATGAATTTTATTAGTTTTTATTTTCTATTTCAGTTAAATATCTTTACTTTTGAATTAATTTGTTTATCAGGTGGCTATTTTTGTTTACCTTTGCTTCCAGCTTTTTCTTGGTGTACACTCCATTGGCTGCCGTACAAACATCATTGAGTAAAATCATGATATAACCAGTGAGGTCAAAGGTTAGGTCATCACTATAGCAACCAGACATATATTTATATTTGTATAGTCATGTAGTTCATGTATTATAATCTAAAGGCATAAAAATGTTTGATTCAGTTCATTCAAAAATCATTTTTATCCTCATTTCCAATTTACACATATCATTTACATGTATCTATAAAATAACTTGAATACAAATAATTTTTATAGCATTCATCTTTATTTCATATTATCATAAGATTTGTGTTACCTGGCAGCAACTATAGCACCAAATATCATCAGAAAAACTGTAAACTGTACCACTCTTGGTGCCTTTACACTGACAAAAAGTTAAAAAAAACATCAATATTCAAGCAACAGAAAAAAAAGACTAATAATGTGTAAGACAAAATACCTCTCAGTGACTACTGAATTCAACTGACTAAGGTATATCATTTTAAAATTTGTATAACTTCAGTATTTTCTTTTCTTCTTCCAACTTCAGAAAATTGATTGTCCAAATTTGGTGGTGGTGGGGCGAGTGGTCTTTTTATTACAAAACACTTAAACATCTGAGTTTCAAAAAAAAGGAAGAATATTAGGCCAAAAAAAATTTGATTAATAGTTTCTCAGGCCAAAAAATTCAAAATTCAATGCGGCAGGCAGGCTTTTTTTTTTGGAAGCAGGTTTTACACCTTTTTTGTAAGTCATTTGTAGGGATGGGCGATTTTATCGGTATACCGGTATATCGCGATTTTTTGTTGCGTAATACGTATCGTGTTATTTCCCTTTTCAACAAGGAAGAATGTCATGTATTACTAATTGTAATTTTATCAATGCGGCATTTTTCAACTGATGTGGCGGTGCAAAAGAAACTATTGATTAATTTTTTTTTTACCTAAGTGTACATGTATTTACTTTGTATCATATTACATTCTTATTTTGCTCTCTCTCTCTTTCTCTCTCTCTCTCTCTTTCTCATGTTCACCAAGACATGTGCTACTTACTTTAAAACATAATATTCTGCAATCATTGTAAAGAGAATGGCAAATCTTCTTAGAATTGTAAACATTGGTAAACTGTAAAATATATTTATTAATATTATTTTTATCATTTATTCCAAGCTCTCTGATTGGCTCAAACTTCATCACATGATTAAGTATATAACAGCATAAAGACTTGAGTTACTATTAATAGAATCTGAAATGCATATCGACTTGATGTTTCTTAAAATGGAGATAATTGTCTGTAAAACAAAAATAGTACTGATCAACTCATCAAGTATGACTTGATGTATCTGAAAAAAATATATTTACTACAACTTCTATTATTATTTTTTCATGTTCCTTAATTGATTAGACGTAACAATGCCTTGAAGCTTTGAATTAGGATCTACTTTATATTTCAACATATTGGATATGTTCGTCAAAAATTGATTCAAAACATAATCAAATGAATTAAGTATTTTGAATAAGTAAACTTGTAGCTTGTTCCCATTATTTTCAAATTTTGTTTTGTTTTCAAATCTATGTAAAAAATAATATAACAAATGTAGCCCTTTAATTTTTTCGATCCATAATATATCGATATATGGAAAAGCATAGACCTGCACTTTGTGCTCGGTCGATATGCTGTTTTTTCTGTGAAGTCGATATATCAATATTAACCTCATCAAAGGGCTATATTTATATATTAATTAATTGCTCAGAATTTTAACAGCAATATATATACTTTGTATATTATTCAACAAGAAACATGTTAGAATATCTTGAGTAGATATTAAAATTGAAATCTAAAAAATGGGATATGAATTATAAATTCTCATTAAATTATGCATAAGTGCATAAGCTTACATAAAATATCTTCATTGATTATTAAGTAATTCATTATTAGTTTCATTAAAACTAAACGAAATTCAAATTTAAGACAAGCAAGGTCATGGGAAGGTACAAGGTCAAAAGTTTTTAATCAGTTGAACAGGTCTCAGAAATTCATCTAATTTTTATATAAAAATCTTGAATGGTTTATGTAAAACTGCGCTTTACACTAATTTAAGGAAAGTAGTGTCAAGGTCAAAGGAAGGTCAAGGTAAAGATATATTTATATGCAGTTGGAAAGGTAACATCCGTATGTACAGTGTATCAGTATTTGAAGTTTGATTATACTATCTTGAATATTTTGTTTTTCTTTTAACTGAGCTATACACTAATTTAAGAAAAGTGAATTCATAGTCAAATCATAGGTCAAGGTCAAAAGTTTTTGAAGCTGTCAAATTCCTTACTTCAGTATGTATCTGCATATGAAGTTTTTTAATACACTATCTTTAATGGTTTCTTTCAATTAGGCTAGCACTTATTCAAGAAAAATGAGGTCAAGATCAATGGATGGGTCATTGTCAACAAATGCTGATGAAGTTGAATAGCTTAGTTCAGCACATAAAGTTTGATAACATTATCTTTGATGGTTTCTTTAAAACTGAGATTAACACTAATTTAAGAAACTGAGGTTTAAGTCAACTAAAAAATGTTGATGCACTTGAAAGTCTTCCACAGCTCTCATCAACAAGAATCAGCATATGAAGTTTGATAAAAATATCTTGAAAAGCTTCTTATAAACAGTTACATGCAGAGCATGACAGAAGGATAGATGGAAGGAAGATTGAAATGAAAAAAATTATATATGCCCCAGCCATGGTAGGGCATAGAGAATGATTTTTAAAACTAACTTTAGCTTCTTGGTTCCACCAAGACCGAACAGTAAGTTGCCAATAAAAATCATTGGCAATGGCCATATCTGTAAAAGAAAACAAGTGTTTTAATAAGTTTTGATAAATATATAATACATGTATGTGAATGTGGGCAAATCAACATAACTCTATTCAATATTAATACACAATTGTTTAAGACTGGTATAAAAATACTTTATTGATGAACTGCTTATTAAATTAACATAACTTTAGATCAAATTTGAAACCACCAGGATCCAAAACTACCGGGTAGTATTCTAGAAGGACAGGAATATGATGATATACTCGCAATAAGGAAATACTTCGGGGAGCTTTTATAAAATGGTGAATAAATAAATTACCTATATTCGTGTCATATTAATAGTTAGAATAAACATACTTTAACAAATATTCCAAAAGAAAATCCAGGAAAATCCACTAAACCAACCAGTTTTGCCAAGAAAAGAACCACAATGCCTGTGGTCATCTGAAATGTTAGATATATTCAACTTGGTTACATCTATAAACTGGTGCATAAATTATTTTTATCATACACACAAAAAAAAGCAATTTTTATCATTATTTCACATCAAACATCACTTCAGGTTCTTCACAAGAAATATACTCAGCTTGGATTGTCAACCTTCTGAAACACTTACCTGACCAAGTGCCAGGAACTGGAAAGATGGAAAACTACAAAGAACAATACATTCATATAAAAAGTCATCAATTGGCAAATTAAAAGCAATTCTGTACCATCAAATACTTTATAATATAGGCAGCTCAAAATAAAATGTTTGATACATATAGGGAATAATGTCTGTTATAGATATGTAGCTTAGCTTTATAGGCATATAACCATGGAGAGAAAAAAAATCCCTTTCAGTACCCCCCCCCCTTTCCAAAAAAAGTTCTATACATCAAATGATTGATTTTATCGATCAGACTGGATATAATTATTCACTGATGTTTCAAATGGTCAGTCTTCAACAGATTACTGTTGCTATTTGTTACACATCAGATATAAGTGTACATATAAGTTATATTAAGGTATCATTTTAAACCATCTACAGGGATAAAAGGTAACAGGAAGATATTTGATGAAATCTATTCTATTTTAATACAGCCCAAAGGGTTTAACGCGATATCAAGATTATGATGTTTCATGTACATTTGTTACACATACCATTAAGGTATCAGTTTAAACCATTGCTATCTATCTGTTACAATAAAAATTATACTTTATGTTTTAAATAACTTTGTATGATACCTCATATGATATCTTTACAATTGAATACAAATCATGCATGTCATCTTTATAAAAATTCAATGTGAATACATTTGCAAAGGACACAAAAAGTTTTTGAATAGTCCATAGTACATATATAAATTGTCAAATACTGTACTGGTGACATAATATTTTGTATTTTTCTAACAATTTTACAAATAATAGTTTGAGGTGCAGATAAATAACTTAATCAATCTATAATCAATCTATTCTAAATAGCTTAATTATAATGAAACAGACCTGCATGGTTAGCAAGTTAAGTAAAACCATATAGCTTATACCCTGTTGATCTAATGCAAGAAATCATTTATGCTAAATTTACAGATTTGTGAATCTTGGATCATTATTTCTCACAGCATTGTTATATTTTCACACACATGTAACAGGATGCATAAAACAAACCCCTATATACTGATTATTACATTTATCTCATTTAGCAAAAAAAGAGACCTGGTAATCATACATAAACAATCACTAAGAAGAAATATCACATACCCGTAAGATGTAAGCGTTAATTTGTTGGCAACAATTATCATAAAAGATGCCACTCCATAGAAAACAGCAGAGGCAATTCTGGAGAAAAGTGAGCCAACGTCTTCCTCCATCTTTCGTGTTTACACTGGAAGTTTGTGTAAAATTTGAATACGATACGAAAACTTTATTCCGGAAAATGAATTTATTCGTATAAATTCTCATATAAATAATTGATATTGAAAAATCAGTCTTAATGCTTTAAAGTCGTTTTATATTTTTTTTTTATTTTAATGTTACTTTAAGAACAACATTGTTTCCACTCGATCGACTTCAGCTTCATTAGCGGAATCCGCAAACAGGAAGTGCGCGAACAAAAGCCAATCATCGCGTTGCAAAAAACATGGAACCCCCTCAGACACAGCCGTCAGCTTTTACATTCGATAGGCCTCGTTCTGCCGGCTCTGATAGGTAAAGTGTCCAATTAATTATACTAAATGATTGAGGAATTATTAGTTGTCAGTAGATTATTGCATTTCTTTTTCGACTAATGGAGTAGAAGACATTTGTTATTACCACGTGTTTATTCATTTTCTCCGAACTTTGAAAACATGCCAAAATACAATATGCAATCCATGTGCAATAGTTAGTTGTTAACACTATCTAGTAAAAGTCTGTCATGCAATAAATAAGAGTGTCAAATACTTTTAGTGATACATGGGAAATCTTTGACTATGGAAAGGTTTGTTGTTTCACTATATTTGATTCTGTTTACATTTTTAATCCAATTTTATTTATTTCTTAAAAAAATAAACTACACTTAAGCCTTGAGCATCAGAAGTGCCTTGAAGTCTCTAAGTAGAAGCTACCATAAAAGTTCACGATATTGTTTGAAAAAAAAACCCCACACTTTATTTGTTCATTGTATTTTTTGTATTCTGAAATTGATTATTATAGGATAGACATTACTGACCATGTCATTAATTTTATCAAAGAAATTATTCACTAAAATTCCTTTTATTTTGAAACCATTTTTAGCAAGCTTTAAATGTATATCTAGATCTTTTTCAATTTTTTGATATAATAATCATTATGTTTTAAGCCTATGTTCAATTTGAAATTGAATTAAACAATATCATTAGGCTGTTATTTGAGTACTTCTGTAAATTTTGATGCATTTAAAAATACTAAAAATGGAAACATAGTAAACCTAGCTAAATAATAAAGAATTGAGTTTCTAACTTTTTAATAACTAATACTTCTAACAAAAAAATGCAACTGCAAATCATGCTTAAAGTGCAATAAAATTAAACTTTGTGCTCTTTATGCAATGCCTATTTAATAGAAACTGCCATTAAAAAAGTTTTCCTTCAATTTGTTTTTCATTTTATATTTGAACAAATGTATATCTGTGAGTAGAAAAATTAGACATTATAGACAACTAAAGTAAAGAATGGCTTATTTAGTTGAAATTTTTTTCCATTTATGTAATTCTTATTTTGTCAACTTTTTGTAGTGGCAGTGGAAGTGGGGAGGAACATGAAACACGCAATCTCAATTCTCCAATGAAGGCCCCTAAGAGTCCCGTAAAACCCACCCTGGCACGTCTGAAGTCTCGCACAGGATCGTCGGCTAGCAGTGCCAAGTACTTCCATGCAGGGGGAAGAACTGTGTACACCTCAGGGAGACCTCCCTGGTACGATTCCCATGGTCTTCTAAAGGAGGCATTTGTCATAGGTACAAACTACCATCACATGCTCAGAAAATGAACTCTTTGATATCATTTATATTTAATTATAAGCATATTCGATTTTTTCACATTCTGATTTGTGATTTTCAATTACAATCTCTCTTTAAAAATATATAATAGGTAAATTTAAATAATTTTCTTGATAGAGGTTAAATTTTTTTCTGGTCTAAAAAATATTGTTCTGCATAATTTACTGACAGTTTGTTATGATGATAATAAACATAATACATGTTAAGGGCTATGTGGAGGGAGTGCTTCAGGAAAGACAACTGTGGCCAGGAAAATCATTGAGGCTCTTGATGTACCATGGGTCAGCTTGCTGAGCATGGATTCCTTTTACAAGGTAAGATAATTGTAATATGGTTTGGTGCCTGGATCTAAAGCCAAATTTTATGTTGCTCTCTGAAGAATCTATAAGAAAAATAATAATAATGGAAATTAATGTAAAATCTTTTTGTCAAAATAGAGTCATTCAAATGCAGTACTAAATTTAAGCATTGATAATTGTTAAAAATATTCAAGTTTAACTTCCAATACACCTTCATGAGGATGACATTGTCATTTGTCTTTACAGGTGCTTGGTCCAAAAGAACATGAGCGGGCAGAACAAAATGAATACAACTTTGACCATCCTGATGCTTTTGACTTTGATCTGTTGATTAAAACATTACGTCGCCTCAAGGAGGGAAAGAAAGTAGAAGTCCCAATCTACAACTTTGTGACTCACAGCCGAGAAAAACACAGTGTAAATACATTGAATTCAAGAGACTTCAATAAGTTTGAAAAATGCATCAATTACAAGCTCAATTGAGTTGGAACTTCATAATTTTTTAAGTCAAATGTTTTTTTATACAAATGAATAAATCAATGAATGTCATTTTCTGTCTATTTCAGAAAACAATATATGGGGCCAATGTTGTTATATTTGAGGGCATTATGTCATTTGTCAACAAAGATCTATTGAATGTGGGTAACACTCTTCTCTTTTTAAGTAAAATTTTTGGAAAATATTGAAACAGAATTTCATCAAACCGTTTTGATTTCATTACTCCTTTTTCATGTCACCTGACTCACTCCAGTGACCTATTGCTATTCATTTAAATGAATTCTCTATGTAACTTACAAAGAAATTTATCCAAAAAAAAATTATACTGTACATCATTTGTTAAAATATAAAATTTCATAAATTTACTTATAAATAAATTATTTAAGAAATAAATAACAAGTTTATAAACTTCAATGGGAATTGAAGTGGGTCGGTCACGTGATCAAATCCTGTGAAGGCCGAAGGCCTTCTCAGAAGATTTGATCACGTACCGACCCACTTCAATTCCCATTGAAGTTTATAAACTTGTTATTTATTACTTATATATACATTTGAGAGAGACAATGAATATTTTCAAATTAAATTATAGCACTAACCGTCCGTCGTAGATTTTGAAAAATGACGCAAGGTGTAAATCGGCTTGAATGGCGGTTACGCTTCGAATTCACCAGGCTAAGGATTTTATTTCTAAGGGAATATTTTTTGAAAGGCTACTTCTGATCGGTAATAGTGAACAAATTGTTGTCTGGGAATATTTTTATTCGTGAAAACTGATAATCAATGCTGAAAAGACACTAGAAACACGTCCGATTCGAAGATCGATGATAAAAAGTTGGAGGAATTTCGGTCGCCAGAAAGGGATGGATGGAAACACTTGATTTGCAATCAATTGGATTTGCTAAAAAACATTCAATCTACAATTTCAATGAATAAAGGCATATTTATGATGAAAATACGGAGACACTGGCGACAGCTTATTGTTACGACAACTCCGAAGTGTTTGTCAGCTGTTTGTGGCGTGATTGGAATGCTTTGATATTTTCAAACAGATTTACACATTTATCGTGAGTAGAATTTAATGAAAATATTATAGTTTTTCACGGAATTTTAACTAAAGGTCTTCCCAAAAAATTAGGATAAAGGTTACAGGACTGTGCAGCTGACATAGTGTCATAAAAGTTGTAAACAAACGCTAGTTTTCATGTGTATATTCTCTATGTACGCAGGTTAAATCGATAGCCCAAAAATATATGAAATACTCATTTACATTGTAAATAAAATAATTATTATTTTACTTGCTTATTTTGTTCATTTCTATACATGAAAAGCAAGTAGAGCAAGTCATTTTGTACCGGTAGAGATCATTGCGCCGTGTGATTAGGTCACGTATTGACCCCTGACCTCTGACAAACTTCATACAGAATTGAAGATATTTGTTCTCTGTATGTTTATTAATGTAATAAATGTATATTTATTTTCGTTTTATAGTTAAAAGTAAACACGTGGACAATGTTAAATATTTTATTTTCAAACTATGTATACTCAACCAATCAGTCCGATCCTGAAAATAAAAACAAGAGGCCCATGGGCCTGATAGGTCACCTGAGTATCATGTAACCAACTTTCCAGCGATTGTATTTGGTTCTGTGTTTTAAGCCAAAAGCCATGAAACTCCACAAATTTTGAAAAAGAGGCACCATTGCTATCAAAGGGCAGATTTCAAAGCATTAATTTATTTTATTAGTCAAAGTACCCCCCTGGTACCCCTGACCCCAGCAGCCCTGAAATTATCTATTTGAAAGAGGCCCCTTTGTTCATTATAAGGCCAGCATTTTTTTTATATGAACATGAGAATAAAAAAGTCCCGAAGGAGAAGGAAATAAAATTTTTTTGATAAATCAATTATTAACATTTGTAATACCACTGGAAACATAATGCTTACAAATAGGAAAGTAGAACATTTAATTGCTTATTTCATCATCTGTCAGTTTGGGCCAGTTATATAAATTTTGTGATGTTGATCAAAATATATTTAAAAAATCAATTCTTTAAAAAGTCTTTCAATATCTCTTCATTTTTTTAATATGTGTTAGGTGAATGTGTAGACATTGTTCTAAAATTTACTTGATGCCTAAAATTATAATTCCTATCATAAAACAGACAGGGAGTATTGGGGAGTAGGGTCAACATTTTTTCAATAAAGTGTAAAATAATTTTTCTGGCTGATACAAATGATACTACATGCCTGTATATATTTGTATATTCTTGCCTTTAAATAGTTGAATTTTTTATTTCTTCAGGTTATTGTTTATTTCTTCCTTAAATGGACTTCACTTCTCCCATAGTTTTATTCATTACATCTGATGCATAAGCAACCCTTTTCTGAAGAATGGTGCTTAGACTGTAAGCTATAACAGAGACCTAAACAATGTCCCTGGCAATATGCAATAGCTACCACGGGCAGTTTAAAACCTGGGGGAGGAAAATAATTTACAGTTACTTTTGAAACGAATACATAATTATCTCACCAGCATGTCATTGTGCAACAAAGTCGTCAGCATTTTATTTGTCCTTTGAACGGGTGAAACGTTTTGAATGGCACTCTTATCGATGAATTTTACACTAAACCAAGATATCTTCTCAGATCTAGCTATATTTACCCACCGTTTCATCGTAAAACCGGAAGTGCGAGTTCGTAAATTTGAAATCTCGATCCCGACTCAAATTTGACATCGGAAAGAAAAAAATTGTTTTATTTTTTCTGAAAATTCAAAACCTTGAGCGGAGGGTTTGTAAAACTGAAATTAAAATAAATCCTGGCCTTAAATATGTAATTAGATCATATTAAGCATATTAACCAGGAGCAAAGGATAAGATGTTCAAAGAATTCATGCATTTCACTATATAATATTAGAGCCCCACCCTAAAACAAGAACCCCTGACCCTGGGGCCATAAAATTCACAATTTTGGTAGAGACACTCTTGCTAATCATAACTATGTACTTAATTAGTTTATTTAATACCCAGGAGCAGAGAAGAAGATTTTCAAAGAATTCATGTATTTTCACTATATAATCAATAGAGCCCCGCCCTAACACCAGAACCCCTGACCCTGGGGCCATAAAATTCACAATTTTGGTAAGCACTATTACTCATCATAACTATGTACTTCGTTGGTTTATTTAATACCCAGGAGCAGAGAAGAAGATTTTCAAAGAAATAATGCATTTTCACTAACTTCTTATTTAGCCCCACCCTAGCACTAGAACCCCTGACCCCAGGGCCATGAATTTCACAATTTTTGGTAGAGGACTCATTGCTGATTACAATCATGCAAACAGTTTGACTGCTTGATGTCCAGGAGTAAAGAAGAAGATTTTAAAGATTGCATTAATTTTAGTGGTTTTTGCCCCAACCCTTCAGGCCCCAGGGGGGCAGGGATCATGAAATTCAAAATTTTTGTTTCCCTTTACCCATAGATGCTTTGTGCCAAATTTGGTTGAAATTGGTTCAGTGGTTGCAGAAAGAAGCTGAAAATGTTCAAATGTTAACGCACGACGAACGACGCACGACGCACGACGAACGACGACGGACGAAAACAGATAGCAATAGGTCACCTGAGTTTACTCAGGTGACCTAAAAAGAGAGATGAGAGTTAAATAGAAAATAAGAAATTAAAAGTATTAAATTGAACTTTATCTCTATGCTTTTTTCCTAGAAAGTTCATATAAAATTACGGTCGCCAATTTTATGTATAACGTTTTATGCATTTTTTAGTTCAATCTAATTTTGTAACGTAAAGTTCCTTCTATGTGCAAAATGATTGTGAACATACCCTAAATTATCTATCTGTGAATTTTTCATTCAGGTTTATTTAGTGTTAATACAAGTACAGGTGATTGTTGAATCTTTCTATTTGGATATAAATAGACTTACTTGAATAATGAATTCAAAACAATTCTTTTATCTTGACATTTTTTGATGTGTTACATGTAAGCCATGATTAATTACATTTATTAAAATTATATGTACGATACCGTAATTTCGACTTGTTCTAAATAAGAAAATTTTAAAATACTTTTCGTTTAATTGTTTTTGAAATTCTTCATAAGGCTAATCTTATCCTCTGCTCTAGTTTACCGCCAACCAAAGGATAAAAATAACAAACATATTGCTCTTCAATTTTAATGCAACTTTGTTTGCAATTACTAGTATTTGAAAATGAAGTTTTTTTTTATTAACTGAATACATATTCAGCAAATTCACTTAAAAGTGTCTTTTCATCATGAATCTATTTTTTTTTTTGTATCCGATTTTTTTCTTTTTGTCGTGATTTTACCTTTTTATTTTTTTCTTATTTGCTCTAACAGACTTCATACTTAATAATAATAACAGATTCAATACTGGTACATGTACTTACAAAGCACAGGCAGCAGCACATACTGGAGCCCCGATTCCAAGAGTGAGGGAGGCCTCAGTAGCACAGAAAACTCCGCATGCTCCTGCAGTCAGATCTTTTCCATGATCGCGAAACCACTGCTTGATGTGAGCCACCGCCTCATGAACTGTACATGAGAAAAGAAAACAATATGTTAGTATGTCTTCAAATTTTTGCACTAAAGGATGAAATTCTTTTTTCATTCATACTGTTTTTATAACCTTGACCATTGAAGAAATTACTCTGACTTTTACGTAGAGGAGCGTCATTATTCATATTTCAGCATGTATAAAGTTAACATCCTCCCACCCCCACCTCAAATGACGAGAAAGTCCCTGGTTGTAATAACAACACACCGTTCATCCTCTCCTCTGGTGTCATTACTTTATAAGCTTCAAGAGCAGCAGCATGATCAGTTACTGTATCAGCGAACAGGAATGGAAGGCAAACGAGAAGAAGGAAGGCAGCGTTCATTCTGTAATCGTTTATCAGTATTTTCAATGAAGGAACAATTAATATTATAGATACACACAATACACGCCAATCTACATCTTTATCGTAAACGAAATAATCATTGGGTATATTTAAAGAAAAACAGAAGACTTTTCAGATAGATTTTAGAATAATAAAAGGGTTCATGAAATAACTATTATTCAATGCTGCTGTCTTCTTTTGTGCATATATGTACGTGATTTTACGTAATAGTATTAACAGTTATATCATTTTTATCATTTATTAAGGACTGGGCCCATTAATCAAAGATAAATTAAAACTCTACTTTAATAAGACTGAAACCAGAATCTTTTTGGAATTACAATCCATCATTCTTCTTATCAGAAAATCTATTTTCAAATTAATATAAAAACATTATTCCGTGACCAAATGTCTTCACTGATCTTTTCAAAAAAATATATATATTGAAAGAAATTTCCGTTCCAAAAGAATAAATATTTCTGTTTAATTTCATCTAGAATGATAACATTTTATATACTTTGAAGATTTTGAACGTCGTTAACATGTACAGTGGAGCCTCGTTTATCCGGACGCTTTGGTTCCTAGTTAATTTGTCCGGATATGCGAAGCGTCCGGATATCTGAATTACCAATTAAACAAGACAAAATAACTTTTCAAAAAGCCGTTCCGATGAAAAATCGTCCGAATACTGAAGCATCCGGATATCTGAAGGTCCACTGTACCTATCCATGTAGATTTTGGTTTATGAGCATCACCTTTCAACAGGGCACCCCTTATACTGCACACTCGCTCTTCTGATAAGGAAAATAAAGTTATTCGTAGTCGTACTTACTATGAAAACAATCATTTCAGTAGAATTTTGTCTTAACCATTTACTAGTGGTGGTATTTACAAAGAATGTTAATATAATTACAGTGCATAATAAATCATTGTCTTTCTTCATATTCATGTTATAAATAAGATCATATTTCTTACCTGTTTTTTTATATATGACAAACTGATGGTTAATAAATTGTGCTTGCTGGATTCTTTTACAGTAAAATGCTTATCTAGTTTTGCTTTTACCTTGAGGACCCTCACAATATCCTATTTTAAGTATTCTTTGATAAATTTTGTGTTTGATTATCACTCACGCAGGTCATCCGGTAAATGTTTTGTTAAAAAAAGTGTGTCATCCAGTGTTTTGGTAAAAAGGTATCTCTTACAATTGAACATTGCTTGTTTAACCACAAATGTAATTTGTTATAATAAGATTTTTTAAACGTTACAAGTATCTGCAAAATTATATCCTTCTTTGATACTAAATATGACGAGAGTCCCGGATCGCCCGCGTGGCGCAGTTGTTAGTGTCTGCTTTAGAGTCGCGAAGAAGGAACTGATCCTTACGTCACGGGTTAAAATCCCACTGTAGGACATGGAAGCCGGTCCTTCAGATGAGACCGTGTAAACTGAGGCCCCTTGTGGCAGCAGGTGTTGGCTCGAAAAAGATCCCTCCCTGCACAATGGCCCTGAGTGCCGAGTATAGGACATAATTTGCAGCTCTCCGCCGGTAAGTTGTGGCGTTTCCATATGAGTGAACGATTCTCAAGAGGGACGTTAAACAATATACAATCAATCAATCAATAGATATGACGTGACATATATAGTACCAGA